TGTGGATCATCATATTGGCGCTCTCTGATGCGATCATATAAAGAAGACCGAGAAACCACACAGGCCAAAACTCGATTCGGCTCGGAAACATCCAATCTAACAAACTGATTAGCCAAGGCCTGAACATCTAAGGCTAAAGACCTCTCTGCTACCGGTAAGTATGATAAGCTGCCCAAACTCTCCACCTTACGACTCAAGGCATCGGCCACCACATTGGCCTTTCCGGGATGATAGAGAATGGTGATATCATAATCCTTAAGCAACTCCCACCACCTTCGCTGCCGTAAATTAAGATCAATCTATTTAAACAAATATTGTAGACTCCGATAGTCGGTATATACCTCACACTGGACACCGTACAAGTAATGCCGCCAAATTTTCAAGGCATGAACAATAGCTGCTAACTCAAGATCGTAGACTGGATAATTCTTCTTATGTACCTTTAACTGTCTGGACGCATAGGCAATCACCTTACCGTCTTGCATAAGCACTGCGCCAAGACCAATACACGATGCGTCACAATACACACTATAAGAAACTGAACCAGTAGGCAACACCAATACTGGAGCCCTAGTCAAAGCTATTTTGAGCTTCTGAAAGCTCTCTTCACACTCATCAGTCCACCTGAACGGAGCACCTTTCTAGGTCAATTTAGTCATAAGCGATGCAATAGACGAGAATCCTTTCATGAAACGACGATAATAACCGGCCAAACCGAGAAAACTCCGAATCTCAGTGACTGAAGATGGTCTGGGCCAACTCTGAACTGCCTCTATTTTTGTCGGATCCACCTTAATTCCTTCACTGGACACTATATGTCCCAAGAATGCCACGAATTAAGCCAGAATTCATAATTAGAGAATTTGGCATACAGTTTCTCCTCTCTCAATCTTTGTAATACAATACCCAAGTATTGTGCATGCTCCTCCTATCTACGTGAGTACACTAGAATATCATCAATAAATACTACACAAATAAATCAAGATATGGCTGGAATACACTATTCATCAAATGCATAAATATTGTTGGGGCATTGGTTAGCCCAAAAGACATCACAAGAAATTCATAGTGGCCATAACGAGTCCTGAATGTCGTCTTTAAAATTTCGGAATCCCAAATTTTCAACTGGTGATACCCAGACCTCAAATCAATTTTGGAGAACACTCTCGCTCCCTGAAGCTGGTCAAATAAGTCATCAATACGCGGCAATGGATATTTATTCTTGATTTTAACTTTGTTCAACTGCCTATAATCAATACACATCCGCATAGTACCATCTTTCTTTTTCACAGACAGAATCGGTGCACCCCAAAGTGACACACTAGGCCTAATAAACCCCTTTTCAAGGAGTTCCTGAAGTTTCTCTTTCAATTCTTTTAACTCAGCTAGTGTCATATGATAAGGAGGAATAGAAATGGGTTGAGTGCCCTGCACTAAGTCAATACCGAAATCAATATCCCTGTCGGGCGGCATACCCGATAGGTCTGCAGGAAATACATCCGGAAAGTTTCGCACAACTGGTACTGAATCAATAATAGGAGTATCTGCATCAACATCTCTCATAAATGCCAAATATGACAAACATCCCTCTCCAACCATACGTTGGGCCTTCAAATAAGAAATTACCCTGCTAGGAACAAGATCTAGAGAACCCTCTATTCAACCTTTGGCAACCCTCGCATCGTCAACGTCACGATTTTTGCGTGACAGTCCAGAATAGCATGACATGGAGACCATTCCGAGTAATAAGAGATCAACTCTAGTCTCCAGTTCCCCAATAGTTACCACACACGACCGATACACATGATCCATAGTAATAATATCGCCCACCGATATAGATACACAAACAAGTGAAACTAAGGACTCACAGGGCATATCCAGATAATGGGAAAAATACGATGATACATATGAATAAGTGGAACCAGGGTCAAATAATATAGAAGCCTCCTTGTGGCACACTGAAACAATACCTGTGATCACTACATCTAAGGCAACAACATCTGGCCTGGCAGGAAAAGCATAGAATCGAGCCTGCCCGCCACCTGATCGGCCTCCCCCTCTTGGGAGACCCCTAGCTTCCTGACCCCCACCCTGAGTTGGTTGGGCGGGTGGTGGAACTGCTGGTGCTGGTGTCGTTAGTCGAGGACTCTAATGTGGAGCCCCAGTCAACAACCTAGGACACTCTCTCTTGAAATGACCAAATTCTCCGCACTTGAAACAACCCCTTATCTGATGGAACTGCTGCTCCTGATAACCCGAGGAATTACCTGCAGAAGCCTGAGTGGACAAGGCATGATGAGAACTATGCGCTGGTAGTGCACTGAATGAAGACTGGCATGAGTGAGCACTATAAGAACCGTGGCTAGCTGATGCACCACGATGAGCTGGACGACCCGTCTGAGCATGTCTGTAAGAATGACCCCTACCGCGGTAAATCTGACCCCCTGAAGGAACACCGCTGTAATCACGTGGACCACAAGGCCTCTTAGCCTCTCTCTCTCTCTCTCTCTCTCTCTCTCCACGTTCCTGGTTGCAAAACATCTCTATCTACCGAGCAATGTCCACTACCTCATCAAAAGTAGCACTAGATACCCTCTCGCTAGTAATAAGTAACCGCAGCTGATATGTGAGGCCATCAATGAACCTCCTAATCCTCTCCCTATTAGTAGGAACCAATCAGACTGCGTGACGAGCTAACTCAGATAATAAGTTCAAATCTTCGATTTACACCTCAAAATCATGTAATCTAGTCGGATTATTCGATGATAATTCAATATTATGGAGTAAAAATGATCACAAGGGACTTACCTCAAGTTTTTCTTGAAAATCTATCAAAAATCACCCCTCCTCAAGCTCTAATTTGTCAAAAATAGCGAATGGGACGAAGTCCCTGCTTTATAATTCTGCCCAGACAGCCCCCGATCATGGGCCTTCGATCGTGTGCCTCGATCTTGGGCCTCGATTCTGACCCTCGATCCTGGCCCTGCTCGACCCTAGCCTTCGATCTTGCCTTCAATTGTGGCTTCGATCCTGGCCCCTCGACCCTTTCCCTCGATCATGGCCCTCGACCCTGGCCTTCGATCTCGCCTTCAATCGTGGCTTCGATCCTGGGCCCTCGATCATGGCTCTCGACCCTGGCCTTCGATCCTGGCTTCAATCATGGCCCTATTCTGGGCACGATTCAGGGCTCGATGCTGGGAGATTCTGGGCTCGATTCTGGGAGATGGAATTTGCACCAAAAGGAAAGTGCAACAGCTATTTTTGTCCACTTTTTGATCCGTTAACCATCCGAAACTCACCCGAGCCCCTCGGGACCTCAATCAAATATACCAACAAGTCCTAAAATATCAGACAAACTTAGTCGAACCCTCAAATCACCTCAAACAATGCTAAAACCATGAATTACACCCCAATTCAAGCCTAATGAACTTTAAAATTTTAAGTTCCTACAAATGACTCCGGAACCTATCAAATCACGTTCGATTGACCTCAAATTTTGCACACAAGTCATAAATGACATAACAGAGGTATTTCAATTTTCAGAATCAGATTCCAACCCTGATATCAAAAAGTCATCCCCCCCCCCCCCCAGTCAAACTTTCCAAAATTTTAGTTTTCGGCATTTCAAGTATAATTCCACCACGAACCTCCAAATAATTTTTCGGATACGCTCCTAAGTCCAAAGTTACCATATAGAGCTATTGGAATCATCAAAATTCAAATCCGAGGTCGTTTACACATAGGTCCATATCCGGTTAACTTTTCTAACTTAAATTTTCAATTATGAGGCTAAGTTTCTCATTTCACTCTGAATTCCTTCCGGACCCGAACCAACTAATCCGGTAAGTCATAAAATAAATATAAAGCATAAATTGAGCAATAAATGGGTGAATAAAGTTATAATACTCAAAACGACCAGTCGGTTCGTTACAAGATACTAGTTTTAATATAGGCAAAATGGCCTCGTGGCCACTTAAACTTGCGCCCAATTGTCAACCCGGTACACAAACTTATACATTTCCCATTTGAACATTCTAACTTTGATATTTGTTAACTAATAAACCACTTTAAGCGTTGACCATGCCTATGTGGAGGCAACATAGCTGACATGACCAAATTGTGTGCACACCGCACTGAAAAAGCGCGTGAATTTAATACTTTGATGGAAAAAGTATTAAAAAATATATAAATAATAAAAAGATAACAAAAGAAAAAAAAAACTAAAGGTTCCTCGGCTCCTCCCAGCCCACTTCGTCCTCCTTCCCCATCCCCATTTCTTTAGTTTCATATCTCATCCCCAGTGATCCAATTCCATCTCGTGTCCATCCCCTTTCCATTATTAATTTTTACTTGAAAAGGATTAATCTTGTTCTATTGAGTACAAGAATGCAGAAGAAGAAAGATAGAAAAGGTTATCCACACAACTCGATGTCGGCAAAAGAAAATCTTCGATAATGGTGCTGGTCATTGCTCCTTTCTTTTTCTTTCTTTAAATTTTTGTGGCAGGGGATATTGAATTGGTTATTTTTGATTTGTTTAGTCTGGGCTTGGTGTGAAGGAGAGATAACGGAGATGGTAATTAGGATTTTTGGGCGAAAATGGTGGCTGAAAATTTAGAGATATTTAGCAGTGACTTCTCCGGCCAACTCGAGTTTTCCGGTGGNGGACTCACAAATAATACATGGCAAGTAATAAATAGTCTAGCATATGATGTGTTGACATGTCACCGCAATTGATATACACGTATTGTTGGATGTATTTTTTAGTACTCATCCTGTCAAGTTGAAGTGTGCAAATGAGAAATGTATAAGTTTGTGTACCAGGTTGGTAATTGAGCGTAAGTTTAAGTGGCCATGAAGCCATTTTAACTTTAATATAAGTATCTATTTCACCACACATAAAACCAAAAAAAAGTACAACGTAAAATTGCAAAATTGTCCGAATTCATGGGTTATAATGTAGTATTCTCAAAAGTAGATAAATAGCAAAACATTAAAAAACTGCTTATAGAACAAGTGAACCGATTGCGACACCGCACATAGGACAAAACCCCCTTCCTCTTCTGCAAATCCTTCTGCCGTCGAATCGATAGACGATAATGCAAAGATAGTTGATATGAGCAGAGAAGAGCTAGACAATCCCATGATACTAAGAGCAAAACCAGCAGCACTAGCTATTGTAAATAACAATAACTGTTACCACCGAAATAATGAAGAAGAAGGAGAGTCAAAGCTCGAACCAAATGTCGGGTTAGAGTTCGATTCAGCTGAGGAAGCACAGGAATTTTACAATCTCTACGCAACAAAACTCGGATTCAGAATTAGAATCGGTCAGCTTTATCGGTCACGTGTTGATGGGTCAGTTATTTCTAGAAGATTCGTGTGTTCAAAGGAAGGGTTTCAAACTACTTCCAGAACGGGTTGCCCAGCTTTTATAAGAGTGCAAAAAGCCGATTCTGGAAAATGGGTTTTAGCTAATGTTAAAAAGGAACATAATCATGAACTCGAAACCTCAGGTGAGATTTGTCCTTCCCGTGTACAAAGAAAAAATATTCCAAATCTTAAATCTCCTGTTGTTGTTGTTGTGTCGACTAGGACTGGACTTAGATCAATTGATGAGGATGGTCCAGGCCCATCTGGTATAATTGATCTTAAGCGTTTTAAAAGGGAAAGAATTGATGTAGAATTACAGCCTAGAGGTAGTGAACCATATAAGGGACTTGAATTTACTTCTGCTGGTGAAGCATATGAATTTTATAATGCATATGCTGCTAATTTGGGCTTTAAAGTCCGGATTGGCCAGCTGTTTCGTTCAAAAAATGATGGGTCGATTACCTCGCGAAGATTTGTTTGCTCTAAGGAAGGGCATCAGCACCCGTCAAGAGTTGGGTGTGGCGCGTTCATGAGGATACAGAGACAAGAAACAGGACGATGGTTGGTTGATCGTTTTCAAAATGAGCATAATCATGAACTTGGCCTGCCCGTTGATGCTAGTGGGAGAGTAAAAGGATTTAAAGAAGAAGCGAGCAGTGTGTTGGAGAATATGGATTTAGTTGAATTAAATGGTGGCCTTAGCCTTGTTACACGAGGCCGGGAGAGTAGAATTGGCAGTGATTGGTATAATGAGCTTTTTGAGTATTTCCAGGCTAGGCAAGCAGACGATATGGGATTTTTTTATGCAGTGGAAATGCATAATGGTAGAGCTATGAGTGTATTCTGGGCTGATGCCCGGTCTAGATTTTCTTGCACTCAATTTGGTGATGCAGTTGTTTTTGACACAACATATAGAAAGGGGGGTAGTTACTCAGTGCCACTTGCTTCATTCATTGGGATTAATCACCACAGGCAGCCGGTGCTTCTTGGCTGTGCCTTAATTGCGGAAGAGTCTGAAGAGTCATTTACTTGGGTGTTTCAAGCATGGCTTCGTGCAATGTCAGGGCGCCATCCTGTCTCTATAGTCGCTGATCAGGACAGATCCATTCAACATTCAATTGCTCAAGTTTTTCCGGGAATACATCATCGTTTTTCAGCATGGCAAATTAAGGCTACAGAGCAGGAAAATATTGGTGCATTGCTCTCTATGAATCCTGAATTTAAGTATGAATATGAAACTTGCATTTTCCAGAGCCAGACTGCGAATGAGTTTGAAGCAGCATGGAATGTGCTAGTTAACAAATATAATTTAAGAAAAAACACATGGTTAATGGAGATGTATAGGATGCGCAAGAGTTGGGTGCCATTACACATTAGGGGC